ACCAGATTTTCAGAAAGTTCTCCCATGCTGCCTCCTGGCTCTCTAAGAGACTGCAGTTCCTTCCCGAACTCCCACAGACAACTCTCACCCTGATAAGCCCCTCTGGACAGTTCCCAGCCCTGGCGCTGCTCTTCGGCACCTGGGTGGGGGTGGGGGGAGCACACGCTACGTAGAACAGCGTCTGTCACATAAGAGAAGCTTAATCAAGATGTGCTGACTACAGACCCACAGAGCCCCAAACCCTCTGTAGAATGAACATCCTCCCTTGCCCATTCACACATGCCCCGGGATTTGCAGACACACCCCCGGCTCCTTAGGTCTTTTATACCTGAGAAGCCTCTGCAGACGCTGCTAGGTCCCTCTAGATCAGTTTCCCAAACTATAAACTTGATAGCAGTTCAGTGCTTTACAAATAGCTTGTTATCAAAGCAAATCGAACACAGTAGAAGATTCTTCACAATACATCACAAGTAAATGAAAATACTAATTAACGGGACTTGGGTATGAAATTCATATGACGGTGTACACTGGGTCTCAATGAAAAAATGTATTTCTCACTGTAGATCAAGGTCAAAAGAGTTTGAAAAGCACAGCACTAGATGAGTCTAGACGATCCTATAGACCTTCCCAGACCAAGGAGGACTAATTCTAACTCTCTCTGTAGCCCCAGGGCCACGCAGAATTTTTCAACATTGTGCATTTGAATTACTTTCTAAGGGCAAGTACAATACAGCTGGGCAAATTTTCCAATACTCTTCATTGTCTTATTCTCCATGCAATTATATGGCCCCCCCAAAGGCATTCGAATTTGCAGTCACACTCAAAGCCACCTAGATGGTTCCAGGTCCTTCTAACTGCCCCCAGCCTCCTGTCACCCAGACTAGACACTCCCCAGACAGCTGGAGACCCATCCAGGCCTCTCAGAACATCTCAGTATTTGCCTCTCTCCCTTCGTGGGTACATCCCGCTCCTCTGGGTATCTATAAAAGACTTCCTAGCCCTGGAACAGTTCTTCCAGGCCCAGCTATATGGCCCCAGACCCCTGTAGGTGAGCCGCATCCTCAGGTCAGCACATGTAGACACTTCCCAGCCCTAACAGACATACCCTAGGCGCTATAGTTGGCTGTGCAGATACTCCCCAGCTCTTGCAGATCACCTTCACCCCGGGACATATCTCAAGATCTCAAGATGGCCCCAGAACCCTCTAAACAGACCCTAGCCTCCGGTCAGCTCATAAAGACGATCAACAGTGCCTACAAAAATGACCCAAGCCAGCTATATGATAGAAGGCAGGCTTCAGTCTCAGTCCAGGCCCTGTGGACGCCCCCAATCCTCTCGTGGACGCCCCGTAGATGCCCCCCGGGACCACAGACGCGTCCCGGGGCCTTCAGAAGGCCCTCCGCTCGGCGCCAGGCGCCGCCGCCGCTACCAGGCCCGAGGCCGACCCGCTAAGCCCTCTAGGCCCTGCGGCGTGCCGGGAGGACCCCGGGACAACTAGCGACCCGACTCCGCCCCGCCCACCCCGATAGGCCCGAGCCCCGCGGCCCGGACCGCCGCCGCCATCTTACCCCGCCGCTCGGGCTGCGGCTCCGGCCCCGGCGCGGGGCGGGGCGGGCTGGGGCGGGGCTCGCGAGCAGAGGGAGGAGAGGGGTGGAGCTAAAACACCGCCGAGCTTGCCGGGACTTCAAGTATCAAGCACGGTGCCGTGAAGGCTGGTGGGAAGGCTCCGGACTCAGTTTCCCAGCAACGAATAGGACACATAGGCCGGGTGCGCGCGACGCACGCCGGGAGGCGTAGTCCGCGCGTCGCCTCCGCCGCGCGGGGACAGCAAGCGGGGTGAGGGGTGAAGTGGGCGGGGTTGCGGTAGGCCGCGATTAGGCCCCAAAGTACCCAGCACGCGCGCGGAAAGAGCGGCGGAAAAGGAAGTGACGGAAAGAGCGGTCAGCGTGACAGATGCGAGGGAGTTGTAGTTCCGCGGAGTGGGCCGTAGGAAAAAAAAAAAAAAAAAAAAAAAAAACACAGGACAGGCTGGGAGTTGCCCCGCCCACATTCTAGGGATCCCAGAATCCCGATACCAATTTCTCTCTAAATTTAGAACCAAGGAGCGCAGCCCTACAGCATCCTCCTCATTTAGGACAGAAAAAGTCCAAATTCCGATTCCTCTCACTCAGAACAGAGGAGTCCGGACTCACATTTTCCTCCTCCCTGGGACTCAGAAGCCGAGCCCTCCTTCCTGTTAAATCCAGCAGTCGGGCCCTCAAGCCATCCTCAGACCATTCCTGGTCTCAAACAACTACCTTACACTAACCCGAGTGTTCGGGTTCCCCATCCTAACTCCCTCGGATCCAGAATTTTGGGTCCCCAGCCCCTCCAACCTCTGGATCCAAGAGTCTGGGCCCTCAGCTTCCCTCCTTTACCGAACCTAGTAGTAAGGACCCCCAGGTCCCCTCCTTCTGGGGACCCAGGAGTCCAAGCTTCCAGCCCTATTCTCTCCTAGGTATTCCTAGGGGTCTGGGCTCTCAGCTTCCTCCTCCTTCAAGACCCAGAAATCCTGACCCTAGACCAGGCATAATCCAGGCATCCCGGCTTGGGCGAACTGGCTCATGGATTAGGAATGCAGTGATCTCACGGCCCCTCCCTGCCCAGTTACCCGCTGTCCCCCCTCCAGGGCCCCATCTTCCCTCCCAGTCTGTCTTCCGCTTGGCTGGGACAGCGGGAACCGGAAGCCTGGGTCCCTTAGCGGGCGGAGCCTGCAGCATCCAGCCCAGACGCCCGGGTTGGGAGCTTGGCTAGGATCCCAGGACGGAGGTTGAGCTACCCCTCAGGACTTGCTACTTTCTCGGAGCGCGCCTATATACGGCCGCGCGCGAGTCCGCGAGCTCCGCCTACTGGAACAAGGCCTCGGAGATGGTGCCCTGAGAAACTGCATCACGGGGTTCCTCATTTGCATAGCCCCACCCCGAGCTATCTTCCCGACCCATCGGGAAGAGAGAGTGAGAGCTTATTAGCATATCCCCGCCCGCAGACGGCCGGCCAGCCGAGAGCGCGTGGCGCCGCTCGGGGTGAGCCCAGTTCTCTTATTAGCGTGTCCCCGCCCCATTTGGAATTCCCCTTCTCAGCGAACGCCGTTCCCCTACTCTTATTATCATAGCTCCTCCTTTTCCCTGGCCATGCCTCCTTCTTAAGTGTCCCGAGATACTAGCCCTTCTTGCTGGAGTTCATGATTATGCAGTAGCCTTATTAGCGTGGCCCGCCCCTAGGCCCCGCCCGGTTCCCCCCCAGGCGGTAGCGGCGGCAGCGGCAGCGGTGGCGACATGAGCAGCGGGGCGGCGTCTGGGACAGGGCGGGGGCGGCCCCGGGGCGGGGGGCCGGGGCCCGGGGACCCCCCACCCAGCGAGACACACAAGCTGGTGGTCGTGGGCGGCGGCGGCGTGGGCAAGAGCGCGCTGACCATCCAGTTCATCCAGGTAGTGGGCCCTCACCCCGGGGGGGTGCCCCCGGGACCCAGAACTGAGCCCTTTGCGGGATCCCTGAGACCCCGGTTTCCCCTCGATCCATCACTGAAACCCTCCTGTGAGGCCTTCTAATCTTAAAAAAGTCCCCCTCAGATGTGACCCTGAGCCCCTCAGGGCCTCCACCCACTACATGAGGGACATTCCTCCTGTACTTGTATCTTGAGACCCACCACCCCTACCCCCAGTACCCAAGACCCCGCTTCCCTACTGATCTGACCGTGGGTGCCTCCTGGGAGCACTCTAAATCCAGAAGAGTCATCCCATCCAGACCCTAAGCACTCTCATGGGCCCCCACCCCCCTAGGTGCCGCCTCCCCCCAACCTTGAGCACCATCTCCCCCAAATCGCAGACCCAAACTTCCCCTCTGAGCCACCCAGAACCTGAGAGAATGCCTGTGCCCGATGCCCTTGAGATTCCCCCAGTCTGGAATCTCCCCCAGGGACCTCCCCCAGAAACTGGAAATTATGCCCAGGCTTTGCCCCTGAGGCCCGTCTAGGACCACCCAGTCCTGAGAGAGGCACTCTCAGACCTGAGAGGTTTCAAAAAGATCCTGCCCCTTGGCCATTCCAGAGAACTCTAAGACCCCAAGTTCTGGGGTTCCCCTATCTCACCAGACCCAGACCCCCACCCTTCCCCAAGGAAAACCCACCACTCCTCCATCTTGAGTTTTCCTCCACTCCGATTCCCCGAGCCCCTCTCTGAAACTCTGGCTAGCCCCCAAATCATCTCCATGGAGTAAGTCCCCAGATTCTTGACACCCCTAGAAAGACCTGCTCCTTGGGAGTTTCTCTGATATCTTAAATGCATCTCAGAGTCTTTAAGATTCTCTAGACTCTATAGTCTATGACAAACCTCCCAAATGCTCCCAAGGTCCCAGTTTTCACCCCTGAGCTTCTCCTGATGTATTTTGCAGATACACCCCTAATCCCCCCAGGGCCAAGCACCCCCGCTAACAGGCAGGATGCAGCCTGCAGACCCCCAGCTGCCAAGTCACCACTTCTCTCCTGAGAATCCACCCCTGCCCAGGAAACTTCCACCCCATTCCCGAGGGAAATCCTCCCACCTCAGAAAAACCCTAGAAAGGTGTCCGCTACTGAGATGCTACCGCAGAGGCCCCCCCCGCTCAAGAGACCCCAGCCAGCACCTGCAAGGGAGCCCCTGTCTGTGTAAAGAAATGCCCCAGCCCTGGGCCCCTTGCACCCAGGGGCAGACCCAAAGCTGGCCCAAAGCCTGGCTGGAGGCGGGCAGGAAGGGAGGGGCCGGGCCTGCGGGCGGGGCAGCTTCTCCGCAGCCGGATTGGAACCGGGACCTTCCCCTGGGAGGAGACACTGGAAGCTGCCCGAAGAGGAGGAGGGGGAGGGGGAGGAGGAGAAGGAGGAGGAGGAAGAAGAAGAAAAAAAAAGAGGGAAGAGAAAGAGGAGGAGGAGGAGGGAGAGCTATAGACAGGAAGGTATTCTGGGCAACAGTGTCTCTCAGTAACTGAGCACCTACTATGCCCAGGGGATATATTAAATACTGAACAGGGATTTTCCCTGAATCTCACAAACAGTGGATTAAGCCTAGTGCTATTTTTATCCTCATTTTACAAATGAGAAAACTGAGGTTCAGAGAGGGGAAGTGATTCGTTCAATGCCACATAGCCAGGATTGTAATCATGATGTGGGAAATGTACTTTATACCAGAAAAACAGGACCAGGAGACAGAGACAGGAGCCTGGGGAGGGCCATGGGAAGGGACAGAAACCCAGAGAGAGAGAGACAGACTCAAAAGAGGGGAAGAGACCCAGAAGGAGGGGGGCCGAGAAAGTCGGAGCTCAGAGGCAGGGCTACATCACCTCTGCTGGGACACTGCGGTAAAGGTGTCCTCTTCCCACCCCACCAGTCTTACTTCGTGTCTGACTACGACCCCACTATTGAAGACTCCTACACGAAGATCTGCATGGTGGATGGCGTCCCAGCCCGGCTAGACAGTGAGGGTGGCAGGGGAGATGGTGGGAGGGGGAGTGGCAGGGCTGAAGGCTTGGGGGGAGGTGGGTGGCTGGAGGGACCCTCGTCCCCACAGAGGCCCCTCTCCCCTCCCTGTAGTTCTGGACACCGCTGGCCAGGAGGAGTTCGGTGCTATGCGGGAGCAGTACATGCGCGCCGGCCATGGCTTCCTGCTGGTGTTTGCCATTAACGACCGGCAGAGGTGAGAGTGATGGGGGGTGGGGAGCAGGGGGGGCGCTGGGGGTGAGCACCTGTCTGGACCTCTGGCTTCATCCGCAGTTTCAACGAGGTGGGCAAGCTCTTCACGCAGATCCTCCGAGTCAAGGACCGAGATGACTTCCCCATCGTGTTGGTCGGGAACAAGGCAGATCTGGAGACACAGCGCCAGGTCTGGGACACCCACCCCCCCCCCCCCCCCCCCCCCCCCCCGCCGCGAACGACTGGACCTCATCTCAGTCTGGGAGGCTCCTTCTGGTGCACCTCCTGAGACTCCTCATGTCAGGATCCTCCTCTGGCTCCCTCGGTCCATTGTCACACACCCCACTAGACGTGTTGCCCCACCTTGGACCTTCTGAGTCCACAGCGTTGCACACAGGCGTTCTCAGGAGAGGTGGCTGGATGGAAGAAAGGGCACCTCCCCCAGGGTCAACCAGCCCCAATGTTCTGTCCTGTCCCCTCCTCTTGTTCCTACCTGGACCCTGGCCTCAGCCTCCTGTTTCTCCCCGCCAGTCAACCTCTCACTCTGGCTGCCCCTCCCCTGCTCACAGCCCTCCCATGGCTCCCCAGCACCCCAGCTCTGCCACCTGGCCTTTGATGCCCTCCATGATCTTGTCCTTTCCTTTCTCTGTTCTCACCATTTCCCTATACACACAGACTGTGTGATTTTCACACAGAACTCGTCTTTTCGATTAAGCCTTTGTGGATTTCCACCCTTTGGGACTTTGCTTGGGCCTCTGCTGGGAACACCCTGACTTTTCTGTTTCTCTGACAACTCGGTTGCAGGAGAAGGTCTCTGGAGCCTTCCCTGATTCCTTACTTAGATGGCACCCAGCTAACCCCCTGGGCATCTACCGCCAGGACCTTCCTGGACGTTTTCCTCTTCTCTTGGGCCCTCACTGTATGTAACCCCAGTTAGAGCACACAGTGTGTCTTTCTGCCTCCCCCAGCTGGGACCAGCCTTTCGGGTGGCACCAGGCGGCATGTGGAGTCTTAGTTCCCCCACCCGGGATGGAACCTGGGCCCCCTGCATTGAGAGTGAGGAGCCTTAACCACTGGACCACCAGGGAAGTCCCTGGGACCAGCCTTGAAAGCAGGAACCTGACTCCTCCGTGTCCCACGCCCCAGGTCCCCCGATCCGAAGCCTCTACCTTCAGCGCCTCCCACCACGTGGCCTACTTCGAGGCCTCAGCCAAACTGCGCCTCAATGTGGATGAGGCCTTCGAGCAGCTGGTGCGGGCCGTCCGGTGAGCAGTGCGCCCTTGCCGTCGTCCTCCACCATCCCCCTCCCTGCGGCCCAAACTCACCAGCCTCTTCCCGCAGGAAGTACCAGGAACAAGAGCTCCCGCCCTGCCCTCCCAGCGCCCCCAGGAAGAAGGAGGGGGGTTGCCCCTGCGTCCTCCTGTAGGGAGGGGAGAGGAGCAACCGGCACGAGCTCTCGGGACCAGCTGCCCTCGCCGAGCTTCTTTCCCCATCTGGGTCTCCCAGGAACACTACACTCCCACCCGTGATTCCTGGCCTCCTCCAGGGGCCATCACCACTGTGTGCCTTCTGCCACCGCCTCCTTCCCCCACCCGAGCCCCAGGGTGAGGGCTCCCGGGCATCCGGGTCACTGCTGTATATAACTCCCCTCCCCCAGAGAAATAAACGTCACTGCCAAGGTCAGGAGGTGCTTTTTAAAAAGGGAAAAGGGCAGGGGAGGCGGGTGAACTCGGGCTGCGCAGACACGCTAAAGCCTCTCTCCACGAACAACCATCCACCGAGAACCACTGGACCCTTTGCTTGGGGAGGGACGGGGGATATACAGAACAAGCCAAGCTAGGCGTCTGGACCCCCACTCCCACTCCAACAGCACGACTGCACCCTTTTCTGTTTCTGTGGGCATTTTGTTGGGATGAGGATTAACATTTGAGGAGGACTTCCCTGACAGTCCAGCGGTTAAGACTCTGCGCTTCCACTGCAGGGGTCGCGGGTTCGATCCCTGGTGGGGAAACTTAAGATTCCACATGCAGCCCGAAGTACTAACGTTTGAAAAAAACACCCCCCCCCCCCGGAAAGCTCTAGAACTGCACCTTTCAGTCTGGCAGCCGGAAGCTACATGTGGCCATTTAAATTTAACTTAAATAAAATTTTAAAACTCGGTTCCTGAATCACACTAGCCACATTTCAAGAGCTCAGTATTCACATGTGGCTTAGCAGCTCCCCGAATGGGCAGGGCAAATATACAACATTCTCATTGTTGCCGAAAGGTCTATGGGACAGTGGTGTTCTAGGAGGTTTTGGGATCTTGGAGACAGGCAGCAACTGCTACAAACCCTGCCCACCTGCTTCCCACCTCCAATGTATATTGAGAAAGACGTTTTGGCTGCAGGAGGGAGAAGGGACAGGTGGGCTGGTGTCCAAGCAGCCGACTGGCAAGTTCTGTTCTAGAAAGTTCTCAGTTGGGCTGACATCTGAGTCTAAACCCTGAATTTAACTGGAGGCCGGTGTGGACGCACCCCATTTGAGCCTCTCTCCTGGGGGGACCTGAAGTGTAGGGCATCTTAAGGCCACCGCAGATAAGGTGACAACACACTTCAATTTGAGAATCAGGGCCCCCAATTCTGTACTCTAGTTGCTAACCTGGAAGGCTGGAGCCGGAACTGGAGACCACCACTCCCCTATCTCCCAGGCTCATCTGACAGGCCACCTTTGAGCTCCAACACCTACTCAACACACCAGGCCAGAAATCTCAACCAAGATGTCCCCGTGCCCTGGAACTCTGGCCTCCACCTTATAACTGTCACCAGTCAATGATGTGCTCCCACACCCCTACATCTGCTTAGTCCCAACAGAATCTCCGGGCCTCGATCCCAAAATATTCCCTTCACACCCACCCCAGAACCCGCTTTCTGGCTCTAGGGCAGACAATGACCCTGCGTGGCCCCAGCAGCAGGCTGCCTGGATTCAAATCTGGCGCTGCCCCCTCCCATCTGAGTGCCTTTGGGCAAGTGTGTCTCAGTCTACTCATCTGTAAAGAGGGGCTGACCACAGAGCCACTTCCCAGAGCCAGAGGCCTTTAGGAGCCCGATCTGCAACTAGAGAATGAAAGCAGCGCCTGGGACAGCTAAATGCCCAGGAGCAACGATGGAGGCCCCACTGTTCTCCTGCCCCAGAACCATGAATGTCCCTCTGTATTCCAGATTAGAACAATGATTAGCTAAATATCCCTTTCCGGGTTTCATTATCACAGAATCCTTGGCCTGGGTTCAACCTTCCGCCCTGGGAATAAGCGTGGCTCAGATACATTGTGCTGCGTGTTCACCCTCACCCACCGCCCCCAGAAGCTCTGTGCAGTGGGGGCCCTCCCCTGTGGGATGGGGATGTTTTTTTTATCAGCTCTCAGATAAGATCTGACATCTCTACCTAAGCCCCAGCCAGGGGTGAGGAGCTCTCAACAGGAACCAGTGAGTCCCAGGCCAACTTCTCTCTCCCCAGGGTCCCACCGCTAACATGCCGCAAGCAGAAGGCCTGAGTCTTTTCTGCATTGTCTAATGGGGCTAAGTTCTTGGCCAGGACACCCCATTTCTCAGAGGATCTAGAGGCACTCTGAGGAGGTGACGAAAGCTACCGCTTGCCCCTAAAAAAGGCACACATACAAAACCCACATGACAGCTGGCAGGCCATTTTTGGAAGGTTTGCAGTCACCACCATGCCAAAGCTCATCAGACAACAGCAAAGAGGCTGGGATGGCCCCGTTGGCATCTCCCTAGGTTATGTGTGCGCCTGTGAGTCTCTGGTTCCTGCCCTCCCCTGGGCCTGGCAGTGCTTGTCAAAATTCCAAGTCTCTTGGGATTTTAATGTCCCTCTCTTTATCCATCTTTGTCGTCCTCTGCCTCTCCCCCCTCCTGCCATCTCTTGGACCTCCACCAAGCCCCCCGGGGTCTCCTGCTATGGGTAACAGCAGCTAAGCGTTGAACAGCACTTCAAACGCATTGTTTTCCTTTGTCTTGACAAAAGCCCATTTTACAGATGACAAAGCTGACCACCAAAGCTGTCATCCAACTCGTCTGGTCAGTGCTGGAGCTGAGATTCAAATTTGGTAAACTGAATTCCAAAGGCCAACCACAAGGTTATTCTGTCCCCAAAGGGATGATATTGTCCCCACAAGTCACTTTCTGAGCACATTATCCAATTTCTGCCCTGGATCTCTAACCTGGGACAATCCTGGAACCTTTGGCTCCAATATAACATCCCAGTCCAGAGACTTGAACATGCCACTCCCTCTCAGAGGATGCATTAGTGATGTGCTACAAGCCAGAGTTCAAGGACGTTAATGACCCATCTTTACTCTAGAAAGTGAATGGCCCATCATTCACTCTCTTGCGGTCCTCAAATGCTACTATCACTCCTCTGACCTGTAAAACCAGGGCTCTAGAATTGATAACATTGGTCATGGTCTAGCCAATATCCAAGGTTCTAGAACAGGGGTTCTTCCTCAGTTTCACCCAGAAGAGAATCTAGAACGCTGATGATCCACTCCCCCTTTTTTTTTTTTAATATTTATTTGGTTGCACTGGGTCTTAGTTGTGGCACGTGAGCTCCTTAGTTGCAACTCGCCTGCTCCTTAGTTGTGGCATGCAAACTCTCAGTTGCGGCATGCATGTGGGATCTAGTTCCCTGACCAGGGATCGAACCTGAGCCCCCTGCATTGGGAGTGTGGAGTCTTAACCACTGCACCACCAGGGAAGTCCCTGATGATCCACCCTTAAATCTCATGTTTGGTCTTTACCTACTGACCAGCCATCTTCAATGCCAAGTCCAGAGTTCAAGAATACCAATGGTGGGCTTCCCCGGTAGCACAGTGGTTGAGAGTCTGCCTGCCGATGCAGGGGACACGGGTTCGTGCCCCAGTCCGGGAAGATCCCACATGCCGCGGAGCGGCTGGGCCCATGAGCCATGGCCACTGAGCCTGAGCGTCTGGAGCCTGTGCTCCGCAACGGGAGAGGCCACAACAGTGAGAGGCCCGAGTACCACAAAAAAAGAATACCAATGGTCTATCTTTGAGGATGTGTCCAGACTCTAGAACAATGGCTTACTCACTACCTTATAGGCTGGGTTCTAGTAGACTGCCAGTTGACCTCCACACTTTTTTTTTTGACTGCACTGTGTAGCTTGAGGATCTTAGTTTCCCAACCAGGGATTGAACCCAGGCTGCTGCAGTGAAAGCACCGAGTCCTAAACACTGGACCACCAGGTAATTCCCAATCTCCAAATTTTTAACACCCTTATTCTAGAACATTGTTTCTCAAACTTGAATGTATGGTAGAATCCTCCCAGGATTTTATTAAAAAATGGGTTCTGACTCATTAGAGCTGAGAAACAGCCCATGAGTCTACATCTCCACAAGCTCTTCAAGGACTCTAAGAAGGCATGAGAAGACAGAAATCCACATTCAACTCTGCAGGCCGACCTCTAAAATGCCAATCCACTCGTGACCTTGTAGTTTCACAGTTTGAGAACAGAGACCCACCCTCAAGCCTATCTCAGGGAGCAAAGAGAAAGCTGCTTAACTCCCAACACCCATCACTGCCTGTGCTGGTTTAAAAATACACCCCAAAATTCATATTCTTTTCCCTTCACAAAGCAGACCTTGATTCCCCTCGAGTGTATGCTAGGCTTAATGACCCTCCTCTAATGAAGAGTATGGCAGAAACAATGGTGTACAATGGTCGAGATTAGGACATAAAGATTGAGCGGCTTCCTCCTTGCTCTCTCCCCTCACTCACTCACTCTGGGGGAAGCAGCTGCCATGTCTGGAAGACTCTCAAGCCACCGCCACCCTCTGGCGTGGTCCACATGGCAAGGAACTGAGGCCTCCAGCCAACAGCCACATGAGTGAGCCACCTTAAAAGTACATCCTTCAACCCCAGTCAAATCCATGATGACTGCACCCTCACGACTGACCTCAGGCCAGTACCACCCAGCTAACCTGCTCCCAAATTCCTGACCCTCAGAAACCCGATGATGGTAAATGTTTGTTGTTTTCAAGTTATTAAGTTTTGGGGTGGGCTGATTTGTTACACAGCAAGACACAATGGATACAATGACCCCAGCCCAACCACATCCCAGGGCTCCAGAAAAGCCACGTGCCAGATCCAGACCTTCTGCCCATGCCACCCCCTGGCCCCCCAACATGCCGCAGGACAGAGGCACTCCAGCCAGCCGATAAAGTGTTTGCCGTCGGGTTTTTGTTTGGCTGGTTGTGTGTACACAGTGTATACAAGTTGAGTTGTACAGAAGCCCAAGAAAGAGCAAGAGACAAAGGGTGGTGGGGAGATGGAAGCAGAGGGGTTAGAGAGAGGGAGGAGGGGAGAAGAGACCGATAAAAAATAGAACCACATCCAGATGACAATGGGATGGGGGCGGGGGGGGGGGCAGACACAGACAAATCGCAGTAGAAAAGGAGTGGGAGGGGCAAAGAGAGGGGACCCTTCTCCCCCCTCCACCTCCCCAGCCCCCTGCCCTAGGTATCTACAATAAATAAGATTAAAAATAATTAACAAGATGTGTTTTCCCCCTCCCACCCGACACCAAATGCCCTGGGGAGGGAATGGCCTTTAGCAAAGATCTTGGCCTGTGAGGGGGGGATTGGGGGGAAGGGGTCCCCCAGCTCTCCGAAGCCGCCCCGCCCCCCTCAACCATACATAGACTTTTCCTATACATTATGT